AAAGGGAGGTTGGCTGGGGAGCCGTGGGTCTCAGAAAAGAGGAGTGTTTTATGCCTGACATAGTGTAGAAGTGCCTCCATATGATGACAAGAAAATAAAATGGACTTTGGCTTTATATAGTTACTTCATTTTTTTTTACATTTCCTACCAATGAGGTACCCCATCATTGTCTGCATCAGGGGCGGTGGGGAGTGGGGCTGTTCCCGCAGCCTTCTTCCACCCTGCAGCATGGTTAAGGGAGAAGAGGAATTTTATAGGACTCATTTTGAGAGGGGCAGCATTCACAATGCTGATGGGGTCGGGGGAGGGTACAGCTCAGGGAAAGAGTGCATGCTTAGCAGGCACGAGGTCCTGGGTTCAATCCCCAGTACTGCCATTAAAAGAAAGAGAGAAAGAAAGAAACCTAATTACCTCCTCCACAAATAAAAAAAATGCTCACAGTGTTGTAGCTGCAGAGACCCAGGAGACAATGGAGGGCACGTGTCTGAAGCTGATGAGAAACCGTGTGGAGACAACAGTTTAAAGCACCGCTCAGTGATGCACGTGGCTTAAACAAAACTTCCTAGGTGTGTGACTTGCACAAGCTTCTTAGTCTCATTGGGCCTCAGTTTTCTCATCTGTTACGTGGAGATGACAATGGCAGAAACCCCACAGAGTGATAGTCAATTGTGAATGAATTAATAGATGGCAAGCACTTAGATGCCAGGTTGGCAGATTGGAAACACTATATTAATATTGGATATTTTATTTTCACTGTATTTGTATTTCTACAAAGCAGGTTCTTCCTATTTTAGGTTAGCACCCGTCTTGCTAAAATTAAAATCTGTCCTATGTGTGTACTATAGCATTCTTTTCCTTATAGACATATTACCAACATTAATTCCTCTCTTAGATAAATGCGATTCACATTTCATCTCTTTATGCGATTTCCTTATTGTTTTATCATTTTCCTATGGCTTTATTCTATGAATAATGAATACAGCATCTTAATGATTCTAGTAAATAGAGAATGTATTTTTTTTGCCCATGAAGCACAAGGAAAAATTTTATTCATAATATTTTATTTCTGTCACTGTGCTTGAGATAAACAGCACGATTTTTCATCCACAAAGTTTATTATAGGTCATAAAAGTGAATGGAATCTGCTTTCTGATTGGCTGAGAAAAGGAATTTAATCTTGTATAATTATCTTTCAAATCACACATGCATTCTTACAATAAAACTCTCTATTAGATCACTGAACCATTTAACATGATTTTAAAAAGATTAATATTCACATAAAATTTATATATCTCTCTGCCTATCTCTCCATAGTAGACTTTCTTAAAGACAAGCAAAATAGACTAGCAAAATGGATAATGGAAGTACTGAATAAAAATTCGGGGAAGAGTGATGGTAACAATTTTTCTCCTTCTAAATAAAAAAGGCAGGGTATGGGTTATGGGTTATAAGAGCTGGAATGCTCAAAAAGACTGAAAACATTCTGTCTCAATGGTGTACAAACTTCTGTTTGCTTCTTAAGCCATGAAACTTTTTCTTTGAACAAATTCTTTCTCAAAGATCTAATTCCTAAAATAGGTAACTGCTTGTGGGGACCATGAAGTGGTCATTGAGGCCATTCCTTGAGGTCCCTCTGCTTTAGGTAGTGGTTGGAATGGCATCAGTCTAATTGAAACACTGCCTTTTAAAAGACCTTGAGAAGCAGTGATATAACCAGGCTTACACATGGTAAAATGCAGAGTATTTTGATGCATCCTGTACACCGAAAAAGAGTAATGGCTTATATTATACATTTTTATACAGTTCCTGATACGGGAACTTCCTAAAATTGTCTCTGCTTTCCAAAACTGCTACTGCTGTATAATGTATTCATCTTTTCAGTAGTAAACTTCTCTGCATTTGAGTTTATTTTTCAGCTGATAAGGATTTTTTTTTAATTTAGAAAAGTTCTCAATTAAAAAAAAGAGAGAGACATGTACAGTCAAAATTTAAAGTCGTGTTTGATTGCAGTTTCTGTTTTTAAAAAATCCTGCTTTTGGAAGAGCATGGCTGCTGCCACCCTGAATGCCTCTCATGAGGGAAAAAAGGAATTCAACAAAATAAACAAGTAAAGGTTAAATGTGAATGCTTTGGATACGGTTTAGTAAACTACCAAGCAAAAGAAATCTCTCGGGCATTCAGTGGAAATAAACAAGCATACTAGGAAACGGCAAAAAAGAATAAATGGCATTTTTCCAAATGAAGATTTCCGTTGAGAACAAGCGCATCCATTAACCTTCCTCAAAGCATCTAAAATATCCCGTTGGATTTTGATCTAATAAAACTTGGATTAAACTTGCTATATAAGAACTGGTACCCATGTGATACCTTAGCTTATAGCTGAGGGCACCCTAGGTCCTAAAACTAATAGAAATGAGGGTACAAATCCATCTGGCAGCAGAAATTTTGTTTTAACCTGGAAGTGTCACAAGGATGCTGCTCTATTCTAGAGCGATGCCTGGCGGGAGCAAGAAAGCATGAATGTCACTGAACAACCTCAGAAGCAGTCACCTCCTTGACTAACAAGTAGCCTGGCATCTGTAGAAATTCCATTGTGCCGTGGCACCAGACGACAGAGAATATCCCATTTCATCTCTCCTTGTTCATCAGCACCTTCATTTATGTTGCAGTTTATAAACACAGATGCTTTAAAACGATCTTTCTTTGGATGGATAAAGAATAATGAATGCAAGTGAAGAGAAATGAAAAATCTGCACACAGTGGCAGTGATCGGCTGTAAGTGGTGAGTGATGAGAGCCGGACTTCAAAGGGATCCCACCGTAGATTTGAATGCTGCCTCCACTGTTGTTACCTCTAGAAAATGGACAAGTAAAGCAAATTACCTGTAAAGTCACTGCCATCCGTCAATGTAGCTGTGAAGATTAAATGAGTTAATTAAAAATATGTTTAATAATTTAATGTAATATTTAATGAATTCAAAGATCCTAGAACATTACTGGCATCCAGTAGTTGGCAACTAGTGGATCCTTTAAGCTCTTATGATTGCAAGAAATATAGATTGACTAAGGTTATCTCAAGTAATGGAGGAATGATTTTGAAGATACATATGGATTAAGGAAGCTGGGAATTCTGTTCCTGCAGCAGACTTTTAAGAAAATGCAGTAAGAGGATATTTCTAGATCTCAGTTCAAAAACGAGCGTAGGGCTATTCACCATATCTTCTTAGTTTGCTGTGGGACTGGACCTATTTTCTGTTGTCATGGTGGCTAGTTCTACTCAACCTCTTGATCTACCAGTCCTGTTTCTAGAAACCAGTCACCTCACTCTCTGTTCAATTTTTTTTTCAGCTGTGAACAGCTACTTAATTGTAGTATCTAGTTACTCACAGATATGCTGACTTACGGAGAAGTCCAGGTACGTATCTCAATGAAGAAAGTGAGAACAAAATATATTGAAATATAATCAGCAGAAAAATATGCCCCTTTGGCTAAGGCTCCTACTGTCAGCTAAGTGATTCTTTATTTGTATCCCAGTTGAATCCCTCAAGACAAAGATCTGATTGGTTTACTTAATGAGTAGGAAACATTTTAAGCCAAGCTGTTCCGCTAGACCACATCATAGGCTGCTGACCAGGGTATCATGGTCTGATGCTGTGCCTCTGGGGATAGAGTGAAGGCTGCGATCAAGTGGTACAGATTGTGGTCTTTTACGCTGAAGGAACTTCCTTAGAAAGGGCTCTGCGTATAGCAAGCACTTTTATACTTAACATTCTTACAGCTTTCTGTTCAATTCATGTAGGATGAGCAAGAGCTCATTCAGAACTCATTCAGATCTAGTTTAACCCTGGAACAAACACATTTATTTTCTAACTCTTCTTACTTTTTCCAGTATCCTTAAGGTTAAATAGTTGTTGTTTTTCTCTTGTGGTTTTTATACCCATGCTAAGGTTCGAGGAACTAGAAAAGAGACTGGCTGACCATCTCTCAAGGGTCTTCCCGAGAGAAGTTTTCCTCAGTCCTTAATCTGGGCTTCAGCTGCACATATTTAAATCTGAGGGTTTACCAAGAGGACTGTTTCCTTCATGAAATGACTTGCAAGGTGCATGTTAAAAAAGAGACTAAGGACATAAGAGAAAAACCAGTGATCAGTTCACAATTGAAAAACCACTCTCAGCCTATATTTTTGCATGACTTGTACATGTTTGCCTCTGGAAAAGGGAAAGAGAAAACTAAATGAAACCTGTATGTTGCTTGATGAATTTGAAATTGAGAAATGTATGCAGTTCAAAAATTTTGTTCATCTATCTCTAGGGATACACCTGCTGAAAGATCCTTGAGTCTTTGGGCCAGAGTCCTTGCTCTTTTGGTGTAAGACTGGGTGTCTCCAATATTTGCCTGTAAAAATCTATTATTTCTGGGCTTTGATTGCTGAACACCTCTCATCCTGTTGGGCATGTTCCGCATTATTTATTTTAGTGTTTCAAATCAGGGCATAATCTTGTTTGACAACCATTCTCTCTTTCTAATGACTCTATGCACTTACTAATTTATGCAGTCAGACACTTGCTTATTCTGCACCTGCCGTGTGACTGGCACTACAGAAGGCATTGGGGATACAAGAGAGAATACAGAAAGTGTTGTTTTTGCCACCTTGCTCCTTAAGGTCCCATAGGAGCAGACAGACAAGAGCCTAAGTAATTTCTTCATCCCTCCTGCTGTAATCAGTTTGTGGGTTGTATGTTACAGGACTTACCTCTACATGTTAGCATCCTCCTGCAAACATTTCTATAAAAAATGCTATCAAATCAATGTAATAAATTGTTGTAGTCATTATATACAAGTATGTTAAAATTTTAAAACATTGTCCAAGAAAAGTGGTTTTTCAATTGAGCTGAGAACAGAGCTTAGGGCAGGAAAACTTTTCCATAGATTTGTCTCTTTTATAGAAGGTTGATCTTAGCACTTAATCCTCAGAAGGCAGCAATACACAGAAACCTGATTGTTTATCTCACAAGCAATTTGAATTTGTCATATTGTAACTAGACAGTAGCTCTTCAAGTCTGATAGCAAGCCGGGTGTCACTCTGAAGCCTGATAGAGCCGTGATTCACTAAATAAGAACCAGAAACCTCCTCAGAGCACCATCAGACTGTACTTAGGGTCTGAAAGCTCACACCTCAGTTTGTACTGTGTATTGTGAAAAATCGAATACACACCCATATTGGAAGCATCGGCAAGTGACACTCCCACACATAGTAGTGCTTTTCCTTGAGAAACTCTGAGCATTTTAGCACCAGATCTGAGCAAGATTCAACTGTTCTTCCTGATTTCATATTTAGCACGTCTTTGACTAATACTATATTTGTTTGTGGGGGAGTTGGATCTGTATACAATTAGGTGACATGTGGGCCCAAGGATGACCTCTTTCCGTACGGCCTGTTTAAGCAGGAAGTACGAACAGTAGAAACAGGAAGTGTAAACAGGAAGTCGAGAAAGGAAAAGATTAGGGACGTGTTATTATGTTGATAGAAAATACATCTTAAGTCATAGATTTGAAAGCTATAAAAGAGGAAAGAGAAAAAGATAAGAATTGAAATGGTTTCACTTACTCGTCCTTTTCTTTACTTTTTTTGGAGGGGGTTAATTAGGTTTATTTATTCATTCGTTTTTAGAGGAGGTACTGGGGATTGAACCCAGGACCTTGTGCACGCTAAACACGAGCTCTACCACTTGAGCTATGCCCTCCCCCTTTTTTTCTTTTCTTTTTCTTTTCTTTTCTTCTCTTCTCTTCTCTTCTCTTCTCTTCTCTTCTCTTCTCTTCTCTTGTCTTCTCTTCTCTTTTCTTTTTTCTCTTTTTTTCTCTCTTTTCTTTTCTCTTCTTTCTTCTCTTTTTTTTGGGGGGGGGGGAATAGCAGCATTGCTGGTTTGGGAGCGGGAGATGAGCGACTGTCCTGATCTTTATTTTCTGCTCAGTCCCTGAGAACGTAGCAGTAACACAGGGAAGGTCCCTACCGACACGCTGTTTGCATTTGCCGAGAGCATCGCCTTGGTTTGGTTCCCCTGGAGGCCGGCTGTGAGGCCAGCGCTCTAGGCCAGGAAGGGAAGGCAGCCGAGAAAGTGCTATCCAGCCAGTCACCACTAGAGGTCTCTGTGCCTTAATCCCGCTGGGAGCCCGGGAACCCGTGTGGAACACTCAAGTCAGAGTTAGCTGCTCTGGGACCCGCGGGATCCTGCGGTGTCTCTGGCCCGCTCTCAATAGGTACTGCTTCTCGGGGTCATTATCTCCCTGCACTTGCAGCCTGGTGTTTGCAGGCAGTAACACAGTGGCCGCATGAGAACGCCCTCAGCCAGCGAGAAGTCGGGAGTGAACTGCAGTCCCATGGCCACAGGGGCATCAGCGGAGCCTCCCGGTTCTGCTCCAAGTGGGTTAAGCTGAATTGAGTTACTCTCTCCTTCTGTCACTCTGTCCTTTTTATTAAAGCAAAATCAACCTTGGTTTTAATTTCTCCGTTTTTCATATAATATATTGTTGACTTAGATTAATTCTCCATCGATGATTCTCTGAGTCCTAGTTCATATGAAAATTTATGTTTGTATCTATTTGGGAAGGGGTCCGTTGTCCTGTCTGCTTTCACATTCAGCCTATTTCATCAAACGTTACTAGTCCCAGGACTCTGTATTCACCTCAACTCCAAATCCAGCTCATGTTCCGTGTCATGTTTTTACTGTTCAGCTCACAAGAGTAGTACTAGTATCTGATGTGAGCCTAACAGCATGCGTGCCTTTTAAATTAGTTACATTCTGATTTTCTGTTATTCAATATTTGCTCCTTTATTTCACCAAGAGCTAATTAGAATTAGGAGCCAAAACGCTAGGATAATTTCTCTGATGAAATTAAATGGTTTTTTTTTCACAAAAATTTGAGCCTTCTTTTTATCCATTATGAATCGACACACTGAATAATACTTATTCATGTTGTGCTCACAGTGGAAAATTTGTGTGAGAAGAGCATTTATATGAAAGGCTCTGCTTACATTTTTTCAAATGAGTAAATAAGAGTTCTAGTCCATGGAGTAAATTGTCTCATCTGAGTTGATTAAAAAAAATTCTTTGTGTGAAATAGGCAAATAGTTAATTATATTTTAATGGCTTTATTTTCCTTCTTTTAAAAAAATCAACGTGATAGCATCCGGGAATAGATTATGTGGCATACAAAAAAAAGTTACCAACAACAACTGGGACATATATCTTTGAATATTCTAATGTTAAGGTTTTCTTTTTATGGGGTCATAAGTGCATGGTTAGTATCAATCTTACACTTAACCAGTGAGAGCAGCAAATTAATCACATTCTTCAAACATTTCCTTCTCTAGGGAACTGGGGCGTTGGATATTATGAACCTGGGATGTGTACACCAAATTGTATATCAACTACCCCAGGTAGATTGTTTTATAAATGGGATTGTAAGTTATTCATAAATCAGTTGTTCTTTTGTGTATTTGACTGTATGATTTTCTGTTTTCACCTCACAGGAAGGAGTTCTCAGTTCCCTGCTTCTGCAGGGAGCTAATAGATGTTTCGTGTTTCAGGGTTGAACAGTTGGGTGTAGACAAGAGCTTAAGATGGCATGTGAGGGACTGTGTTTCTGTGTTCTAGACAAATAAGTTGAGTTGCCCAAAGGGAAAGCCTTAAATGCTGGTGATTTGAGTAAAAGAGAAGAGGGACCCAAAGTGAGAGCGAGCAAGGTGATCTGATGCCCTGGGGGATGAGACCCCGCTGGTTCCAAAAGGGTAACCCGACACGTGGCTAAGAAGGAAGCAGGACGTCGGAGGAGGTGGATCTGTGGCCTTCAGACCCTTCGACTCTGGAGGCAAAGAGAAGATCTCTGCAGTCAGAGTTGATCCAGCAGGACGGGATGTTGTCAAAGACGTCACCGTTTTAAATGAACAAACAGCATCTCAGCGAGAACTGTGGACCAGCCGTCAAAGGTCACACGTAGGGAGGGAAGGAGAGTCACGACACTCAAAAAGTGTTGGGATTCCTGCTGATCTCATGCAGTAGGTAGTTTGGACCAACTCATCCAATTTGGAAAGATTAATGAAATCTGATACTCTTTGCACCTGAGTGTTGTGGAGTAATACACAAGTTACATGATCCTTATGTCTGAGCTAAGGCCATACGCTTGAAAGACATTTCAAAGAGTAATTACGCTTGCATCCTAACGAGGGTCTAGACTAGCATTTCCCACAGCACGCGCCAGGGAGAATGAAGGCTGTGAAGTTTCAAGGTGAAGCATGTTTAAGAAACACCAACATTAGGGAACTCAGAACCCTTTGGTGATTCACAAAACTCATTAGCATATTAAAAGCTCTGAGATAGCTCATGCCCATCAGTCTGTCTTGAATCCAGAATTTCCCAAGCTTATTTGATCATAAAAGTATATTAACATTTCTGAGGAACAAACATCCTTTGAGATACTAGACACTTAGGGAAAAATAGAGTTCTTCTCCAAAGCAATAGAAGTCCATCACAGTTTCAAATAAAAGTATCAGTCTTTGCCCAGAAAGCAAGATTCTGTATCTGCGATTGTTTTTTACTTCCCGTATTGATGCACAGAAGAAGAGAAATAGAAAAGTCACCTCTGTGCCGACGTTCCTCCAGATTCCAGTGTCATCAAGATTTTAGAGAGTGCTGTAAAGGGGTCCGCTTATCCATCTGGTAAATGCATACCTTCTGCAGTAGATGTTTTCAGAGAACTAGTCTCAGTCAAGGATTGAGAGTGTAGCTGAACACTTTTAGAAAATCGACATGAGGAACGAAGGGCGTTTTTTAAAACCCTAATAGTTAAGTGGGTTAACGGAACAGTTACATGAATGGATAAGGAGGTAATTATGTCAATACACAGTTTTAAAATACCTGCTCTAATTTGGTATCAAAAACTTAAGTTCCTTGTGAAGAGCTTGAGGATAGAATGATAGCTGCAGAAATGTCTGAAGATTGGAGAGAACTGAGAGAGATTTTTTTTTAAAAAAAAATTAAGAGTTTTGAAGAGAAAACCACGGAAAGGCACCAAAAAAAAAAAATTCTAGTTACAGGAAGGATATGAGCTGATTGGCAATAAGCAATTGTTATTTTCCATTGGGGGGATAAAGTGATGGTTGTGGACAAAAATGTTGCCTGCCCTTCCAGGAAACAATGAATGTTGCCCGCCATCAAGCCGTGGACCACTGCAGCCGCCCCGACAGTGTGTCCTAAGGGGAACTGAAGATGGAGAAGAAGGGGATACTGGCCCTTGACAGTTAAACAATGTGTATCTGTGGAGTAATTTCAATGTGTCCAGACTCTTGCATCTTCCCACATTTAGAAAGGCACTACAATCATTAACTTGAGATGTCTGGTTTTTTTTTTTTTTGGTGTGATTAGCTGTCATCTTTTGATGTGATTAGCTGTCATCTTTTGATGTTTGACATGTTTTTTTATAGCAAGAGCTCGTATGTGTCCTGGCTTCCCACTTGTTTCTTTGTAAGTTCCTCAGAGCTCTCTGAAGGGCTGTCTCTGGGGCTGTAGTCCTTAGTCGGGTCCCTGAATAAAATACAACCTGCAACTTTTAGGTTGTGCTTTTTTCTCAAGTAGGTGGTATGGTCAGCACCTGCTTATAGAAGGAATAGGATTTGAGCATTAGGAAGAAATGTGAGCGTATGATGTTAAAACAGACAATAAGGTCTACAGGAAAGTGTCCTAGATTTAGAGTAGAAAAGTGCTTGGAAGATTTAAGTACAAAATACAGAATTCTGAGTGTAGCAACAATGATTAGATTTAAATTAGTAATGCTACAATACACATAACTTTAAGTCTGGAAGAACTTTAAGTTCTTCTTTGGATCCAACAGCATTTCCCCCCTTGATTTTATTTTTCTGTAGCATGAGTTTTCTGTGTAAATGGGTAATAGTGCTCCTTGGTGACCCACTTTCAATTCAAAATTCTTCCCCATTTCTGCTGATGTCTAACATTCCATGAATAAAAAGCAGAGTCCCATTCCACAACACAATGCAGTGATTAAAAAGCCAGCAGCTGCACCAGAAGGCTGGCTGGCTGTATGACCTTGAAGGAGTCACAGTCAGCCCGTAGGCACATTTTCACAAGTGGAACATGCAGGTGTAGCCGATGGG